CTGACTTGGAGGCCCTCTCTGGAGTGCGGAGTTGACTTGGAGGATCTCTCTGGAGGACAACAAATGTGTTTCCTACATTATGACCCCTAAAAGAAAGACACATAGTGGCGATGTCAGTCAGTGTCCTTTTGGTGGTTTCCAGTAAACAGTTGGAATAATTTGTGAAATCTTAAGGCTAGTATTAATAAAGAACATTATTGCCACCCACAGGCCTGAAAGATAAACAAGACAAAGTGCTTCCTACAACCTGGAGACCGAGAAGGCTGCCAGGCAGGAGCTGTGATTGCAGCTGAAAGATGCAGCCAGTCTTTAGCAACTCCACATGGAGGAAGCCAGGAAAATAAATACTCAAATCAATCACAATTTCTTTTTCTGCTATTTCTTGTCCATGCTCTGAATTTTTCAAAATCGACTAGAAGCTAGAGAGCAAGGGAGACCTTTGGTGAATCTACTCTGAATATGGGGCACAGAGCAACGGGGAGAGAGGTGATCAGGAGACACCCAGTTTAGGTGCCTGCCTCTTCCTCATTAACAACTTCTGTTTCACTCAGCGTTCCTTTGTGCCCAGCTGAAAAACTGCATTCTCCATTCTCTTACATTTGCTGTGACTATGATGTGGAATTGGAACTAACAAAAAGGAAGAACAACAGAGGAGGTGCAAGAAGCAAGAGAGGGAAAGCACCGTGGTGGAACAGTGGCTGATAGTTTTCTGGTAGAATGGTATAAAAACATTTAATAATGAGCATGTTCCATATCCAGTGATTTTACTTATTTTTTAATTTTGATAGTTAAGTATTTAAGTGTTCCTTTTGTGCCAGGGAATGCATTATGGACCAAAGAGTAATGAAATAAAGATGCTATTTCACTTCCTGCACTCATGGAATATGTTAATGTGGAGAAAGGGAAGACAAACGATATCCATATATCTATATTTATATATCCTTCTGATAAAGATGATGCCAGTAAAGCAAAGCAGAATGATGCCAGTAAAGCAAAGTAAAGCAAAGCGGAATGAAATGCATGAAAATTGCCAATCTGTAAGTGACAGATCTAAATAGTCAGAAAGAGCCTCTTTTGAGGACAAATTGTTGGCAGGTAGCTGGAGAAGAGCAGAAATAACAGCTTTCCTGGGGCTACAGTTCCTTCTTGGAATGCTATCCACACATACAAACTTTTTTCCCCCTTCTTTATGTGGATCAAATACATATACAAAAAAAAAATGCAATACATCTTCAGGCTTGAGGAATAAAAGTTCTCTTAGAGAAGTTTAGGTCCACATTCACAACATCTATAGAAATAAAATCCACATTGTTTAGTGCAAAGGGTTGGCTACTGGGAAAAGACTTGGCTGCCATATCAGGAGAGCCTGTGGAATTTATCAAAGAGCGTTGTTGCTTATCCTGTGGTTTCCTGTATTCACCAAAGCAATGTATCACCAGACAACAGAAGTAAAACTCTTCTTCTTTTTTCTCTGTGGTTCACTTAATGGAGATAAAGCTTCCCAGTAGAGCAGCCAGTGAAGTGTACTCTTTCCTAATAACCTGATGAAAGACACGTGAAAAGATGGAACATAATTGGACCAATCCCTCATCCTGGAGCAAAGTCTAGCTGATTTCAGCAGGATTCACATATTATGGACAAGAAAAATAGGTACCTGAATTATAAGCAACGGAGATTCTGGTAGTGTTATCTAGCATTATTACAACAATGGCTGCCTTATAGAATACATCACCACTGCAAGCCAGTTTATTGCTACATTAATTCACAAAACAGGGGCAATATTAAATACACGTAATATTAAATACAAATATTATTAAATACATACTTATTAGACATTTTTCAGGATTAAAAAAGGTACAAAGGTGTGTTTATCATAGTGCCTGGCATAGCAAGTTTTCTAATTGTGATATTGTTGTTGTTAACATAACTTATTTAACCTACACGCATTGTTAAGCATGTTTTTTTCCTGCTAAATGTAGGGTCTTGACAATTTTTTCATCAGAAGAGGTGAATTTTCAGAATATCAAAGTTGTTCAGGCCTTTGTAAATCAGTCTGCTTAAGGATTACTTACATATCATAGTCAATATTTGGGTATCTGAATCCAAATTGTGCTACTGATGTTTTATATACAGTTTAATACAAAACTTTAGACAAGTGAAATTTAACCAACTTTATATGAGAAAAGAACAATTCATAAATAAGGCAGCACTCCAAACCAGAAGACGTTTAGACAGCTCCGCTCAGCAGTCGTAAGCAGCAAATTTGTACAGGCTGAACAAGTAAGCAAAGGAGAAAAGTTACCCGGTTGGCCTCACCTAAGGGGCTGCCTTATTTGACCATCATGTAATGAGACATTTGCCTTATTTGGGCATAGTCTCGCTAGCTGGAAGCCTGTGATTTGCTGAAATCTGGCTATCTGCTACAAAAAATTTACTCCTAATTTAGGTTTGGGTTTATGTACTAAATCAGGCTGTGATTTATTATGCAGGAACTCAAAACACAGAAACCACCTCAGGTTGTCTTCCTGCTTACTTAACAGTGCTGACAGGTATGAAAGAAAATAGAATCTCAAGACCCCGAACTCACCACGCCAAAGAAAAGTGAAGCTGGGAAACTAAGTCATGCAATACTGCCTTCCTTTTGTTTCCAAACAGCTGTAATTTCACAATCCTGTGTCCTAGATTCATCCAGAAGCCAGGTTCCCATAAAAAAAGAAGGTCACATATCTCCCCAGATGGCCTCCCTCACACATTGCTCCCAAGGAAATTCCTTGCCAGTTGCTGAATCTTCCAGGATACACAGCTCCTCCAGAAGTTAGCCCTAAAACAGTTCTGCTGAATCTCACTCTGACAATGTCAGTTACCAGCTTATCTTCATAGGACAAGGAGAATATTAAAAATCCACCATGGGCCTATCCTAAGAAGAACTCATTATTGACTTTCCTCTACTCCCTCTTTTCACATGTAAAATGCAGATTTACTAGGGTAAATGGAGCTTCACAAGAACGTAAGCATCTACCACTGCCTACCCTCACTTTTTTTCCTCTCCTACTTGCTGTTTCCCCTTTAAATACTGAGGTTCCCAAAACCCTCTTCCGAAAAAGCACAGGTCACAGATGCTCCTGTGATCCTGTATTTGTTCCTAGACGTGACCTTGACCTTGGCTAAATAAGCCTCTATGGATTGAGGTCTGCCTCAGTGATGTTTTGAACACAGGGTTTGTCCAACACTAACTGAGAAGTTGGTGACTGAGGATACAGAAGACAGGACTAGCAATTCCCTTGAATAGGCAGGAGATGATAGCCTGCCCCATGCACAAATGACTGGTGAACAGGAGTGCTTACATAGGAACATGACCCTTTACCTATGGTAATGGGAGGAAAGCAGAGTTCACCACACAGAGCAGCAGGATTGACCTTGGCCACCTCTGTTGTCTCATAAAGTAAGCAAGGCCGTAGAGTAAAATTCACACAACTGAAGTCAGTGCATCCCCAGGTGTCTTCCTCCCCTAATGTGGGGTGTTGCTCCTGTTGGTTTTTCTCTGCGTGAGTCCTGACCTGGGTAACTTCAAGTCTTCTTGTTGTTTTTTTTTTTTTCATTTTTCCCCCTTGAGACAGGGTCTTCCTCTGTTGCCCAGGCTGGCATGCAGTGATGCAATCTTGGCTCACTGTAGCCTCCACTTCTTAATCAATCCTCCCACCTCAGCCTCCCCAGTAATTGGTACTACTGGCCTGCACCACCATGCCCAGCTATTTTTTGTGTACAAAATATACAATATATATATACACATACACACACATATATACTTTTTATTTTGGTAGGGAGTCTTGCTATGCTGCCCACATTGGTCTTGAATTCTTGAGCTCAAGCAATTCACCTGCCTCAGCCTCCCAAAGTGCTGGGATTACAGGCATGAGCCACCGTCCCAGCTACCCAAGTCATCTTGAAAGACCCCCTACTTGGGGGACTTGACCACCATGGTTTGGCCTTTGGCTTGAGGTTCAGGGAGCTATTAGGGACACCTCAGAAGGAACAGATCCTGCCCTCTGGGACTCGCAGGCTCTGGAGCTCCCTCTGCTTCAGGCCCAGGTGCTGGGACAGGCGTGCTCCTAGGCAGGGAGAGGGTGGTATCCGAAGCCCGTTTCTCCTAGCCACGCCTGGAGGCGTGGTTTCTGGGTCTGAATCAAGGTGCCCGCGCCTCGTCGTCTTCCCGCCAACTCCCAGCTTTCAAGAAGGGGAGGCTTCCAGGGACGCACCCAACTCCCACCAGGGGCCAGGTCTCCCTCGGGACGCCCTGCGACTCTAGGCGGCGGGTTTCTGGAATCCACGCTGGACATGGCCCGCAGCTAGACTCCCTCCCGGGCTGAATCCACGGTGTCGTGCTGCGGGTCTACACGGCCGCCAGCGTCCTCCCCGCCATGTCTCCACACCGCGCCTGATTGGCAACCCGCGGGGCGACTACTTCGTCCGCATGTCTCCTGGAGGTACTGGGCACATCCTCCGGGTCCTGAGGCTGCGACCTGGGGCTCCGGGTCCTGGGGTGCTGGGGACCGCCCAGCAGCCCAGTCCTCTTCATCATCGTCCTGCGCTCGCCTGCAGCGCCGCCGACAGCTGCAGAGGGCAAGGCCGGCGACTATCCCGCGCGCAGGCGCACACGGCGGCCAAGAGGGCGGGGGCGGGGCCTCATGCCGCGGTAGTTCGGGCCAGGCTGGTGGGTTCCCTTGCGCAGGCGCAGACGGCGAGGCTCACGTTCTCGCGAGAGGGTGGTGGTGGCCCCGGGTGCGTGAGAGACGCCTGCGCACAGGCGCCGACGGCGGGGGTAGGGTTGGGCGAGCGGTAGGGGCGACCTGGACGCAGGTCCGTGGTGCAGGTGCGTGGCCATAGGAGCATCTGGACCGTCCCTGAGGGGTTACAGCCGTCCCTGAGGGGTTACAGTTGATAATCTCATTATTCCTACAGTCTCTAAAAGTGTTTTTGTGTTTTTCTTTGTTTTGCTACAGATGTGGAAATGCATCTTGTTCTAGTACATCACATTCCAGGGAACAAAGAATTCCTTTACAAAGCCGGGTGTCGTCGTTTTCTTAGAAGAACCACTGCAACGGTAATCAAAGTTGACTCTGCTGGAAAGGCAGGGGAGACGGAAATGATAACATAAGCAGCCGGCTGTGTCATTTCTAACATTTGTATCTTTTTTTCCCAGTAATTCGTGCCCACGGCTGAGTTTAGAGTCACCTGCTTGTTTACCTACTCGCGCACACACACACATACATAAAATATAGTAAACCCTACTGATAAATCAGAATTCCCATCACAGATTGCCTTTCATTTCTAATTAATGGAGACTTCTAAAGAGGGAAAGCTGTGAGGAAGCATTCCCCTAAATAGCAAGTGCATACGAAATGTTTTTATTGCATGTAACTTATATGAAGGTGCCAACAGTAAGGCTTCATCAAGTTTTAGTTTATTTGTGGAAAACTGATTTCCAATTTAAGCCATTTATTAATTCCGTGTTTCAGAGAAACTTGACCGAGCACTTGCCATGCTTCCGGCACCGTTCAAGGCAACAGGGTTATGGTCTTGAATAAGAGAGACAGAGTTCTCATTTCTAGACAGACTGGCAGTAAGCCCGAAAATAGATCAATACACAATATAATTTCAGATAGTGACTTTTTGCTACAAAGCCAGAAGTAAATCAAGGTGAGCAGATAGCGTATTTTTAGAGGAGGTGCTACTTGAGATAGAGACGTGAGGCTTACGTCTTACTCATGCAACCTGCCTTTCGAATGGAGGTGGAGTGCTGTACTTTGCACTTTGCATTGTTCTCATCCCAGGACTGTCAGACATTACAGAACAAAGGAGAGAATTGGCAATACTTGCACTGTCTCTTAAAGCTTCAGTCCAGAAATGATATTCACCACCGTTGCACATATTTCACTGGTCAAAACAAGTTGCAAAGCTAAACTGACCTTCAAACGAGGGAGAGCATGTAGAATCCCACCATGTGCCCCAAATAAGAGAAAGCTAGAATATGTATGAGCAGTCCTAATGATTATAACACATGAAAACATCTCCCCAAAATCACTGCCTGGAGAGGACAGTATACTCTTCTCATTTCCCTTAATTTGAAAGGCAAACTGGTTATAAATACAGAATATTTCAGGATGGTGCAGCCACAGTGAAAAATGTAACTCGAAGGAGAGGGGTTGGGGTAGTGGTAGTGGTGGTGGTTCTGCACATTGAGTATTTATTTTCAGACTGCCACGACCTTTCTACGCCATGCTACTATAATTTGCATGTATAGTTATTCATGATCCTGTATGCTATGGAGGGCAACAAGATAGCATCCTAAGCAGTGGTTTACAGAGCAAGCAACTGTGAATTCCAGATGCAAAGTTTGGCATGAAGCTGGGGTTGGGAAATATAATCAAAGCTCTCACAGTGATAAATGAGGTACATAATTTTATGGCTGTCACTGGGTAGCTTTGAAATATTAACCATCAAAAACTTCTCTGAACTGTAAAGTTTTGCAAGCAGATATCTCTTCTGCGTAATGAAGGTGGAAAGAAAACAGTTATATCTGGAACAAAAGCATTGCTCATGAAGTGGAAGTGTAATTTTGTCTTGTGACAGTAATGCAATATTGTCAAAAACTCAGATCTACATAAGGAAAAAAAGGTCATCAGAAAAAGATAATACTATTGTTGTTTCTTGTAATTGGACTAAAAGGTAACTGTTAAAGTAATGATATTAACAATACATTGGGTGATTATAGTTTTTAGATAAGTAAAGTCAGTAACGGCAATGTCATAAGGGATGGGAGGGAAGAATCAGTCATATTATATTGGAAGATTTCTGTACTACATGTGAAATAGCATAATGATATTTGAAGGTGGACTTCGATTATTTATGAATGTATATTGCAAACTCTAGGGCAAGCACACACAAAAATTAAAAAGAACTATAATTCACATACTAAGACCAAATAAAATATGGAATCAAATAAAATGCCCAATTAACACCAGAAAAGGGGAGGGGAGGGGCCAAGATGGCCAACTGGAAGCAGATGCATTCGGAGGCTCCAAAAAAAACCACAAAAAACCATAATAAGTGTGTGAATCCATCACTGGCAACCAAGGTATCCAGATTCTCTTATCAAAATTGACTAGAAGGGTGGCGTGACTCACGGAGAGAAGGAAGACCAGTGTGGCATGGCAGCCCACCTGAGAGCCACCGCGACCCCCTACCCCCAGCCAAGGGAGGCAGTGAGTGAGCATGCCACCCAGCCTAGGAAACTGTGCTTTTCCCACGTAAGTGTGCAACCCACAGATTGGAAGATCCCACTCGCGAACCCACCCCACCAGGGCCTAGCCTGCCAACCCTGGAACATGCAGATTGTTACAGCCTCTCAGCTGGAATCTGCTTAAGCCTGAGGAACTCAACTCCTAAGGGGAGGGGTGACCAACACCTGCTTCAGCTGCCTGCTCCCTAAGCCTTTTAGCTCCTTGGGGGAGGGGCAGCAGCCAGCACTGGGACTTGCAACTGCCTAACAAGCTAAGCTCCATGGGCAGGGAAAGGGCAGACCCATTTCCATAGCTCCAGGCTGCGTTTTTCTCCTGCTGGAGCCAAGGAGGCTGGACAGCTTGGTCCCAAGACTTATCCCCACAGCTCAATGCACCAGCTGTGCCAGTCTGTGGCCAGATTGGCTCTTCAGGTCTAACCCTGACCCATCCTTCTTCAGTGGGTGGGGCTTCCCTGCAGGGCCTCCAATAACTCCAGCCAGAGGATCTCCCTGGGCCTGAGCCCCTAGGGGGAGGGGTGGTCACAGTCTCTGCAGATCACAGACTTAGCCTCTCCTCCTGGTAGTTCTGAGGAATCTGGTCAGCCCAGACAAGTGGGCTCTTCCAGCGAAACACACCCGCTCCACCAAGGGACAAAGGGCTTCGTTAAATGGGTCCTGCTCCCTGTGCCACCCAACTGGGTGAGACCCTCCAACAGGGGTTGTTAGACACCCTATACAGGAGCAATCCTACAGGCATCAGGTTGGTGCCCCTTAAGGTCAGAGGTCCCAGAAGAAGGAACAGGAACACATTTTGGCTGCTCTCCAGCCTCCTTGAGTGGCATCTCCAGGCACAGGACTGAATCAGATGAATAAGACCTGAAGTGAACCCCCAGCAAATTGCAGCCGCCCTACAGGAGAGGGACCTGACTATTGAAAGAAAAACAAACAAGTAGAAAGTGACAACAACAGCATCATCAACAACAAAAACAACAAAAAGGCCCCCACAAAACCCCATCCAAGGGTCAGCAGCCTCAAAAACCAAAACTAGACAAACTCATGAAGATGAGAAAGAATCAATGAAAAAATGCTGAAAACCCAAAAGGCCAGAGTGTCTCCTCTTCTCCAAATGAACCCAGCATCTCTCCATCAAGGACACAGAACTGGACGGATGATCAGATGGATGAATTGACAGAAGTAGGATTCAGAAGATGGGTAATAAAAAACTATGATGAGCTTTCCTTTTATGAGCTAAAGGAGCATGTTCTAACCCAAAGCAAAGAAGCTAAGGACCTTGATAAAATGTTAGAAGAATTGCTAATGAAAATAACAAGTTTAGAAAGGAATGTAAATGACCTGATGAAGCTGAAAGACACAGCACGAGAACTTTGGGAAGCATACACAAGTATCAACAGCTGAAATGGCCAAGTGGAAAAAAGAATATCAGAGTTTGAAGACCACCTTACTGACATAAGACATGCAGACAAGAATAGAGAAAAAAAGAATGAAAAGGAATGAACAAAGTGTCCAGGAAATATGGGACTTCATAACAAGACTAACCTACAGTTCAGTTGATTGGAGTACCTGAAGGAGACAGGGAGAATGGAAACAATCTGGAAAACACACTTCAGGATATTATCCAGGAGAATTTCCCCAACCTAGCAAGACAGTTCAACATGCAAATTCAGGAAATACAGAGAGCACCATTAAGACACTCCATGAGAAGCTCAACTCCAGGACACATAATCACCAGATTTTTCAAGGTCAAAATGAAGGAAAAATTGTTAAAGGCAGCCAGAGAGAAAGGCCAGGTCACCCACAAAAGGAAGCCTATCAGACTATCAATGGACTTCTCTGCAGAAACTCTACAAGTCAGAAGAGATTGGGGGCCAATATTCTACATTCTTAAAGAAAAGAGTTTTCAACCCAGAATTTCATATCCAGACAAACTCAGCTTCCTAAATGAAAGAGAAATAAAGTCATTTCCAGACAAGAAAATCCTGAAGCATTTTGTTACAATCAGGCCTGCCCTGCAAGAACTCCTGAAAGAAACACTAAACATGGAAAGGAAAAATCGATACCAACCACTGCAAAAACACACAAAAATATAAAGACCAATGACACTGAAGAAACTACATCAACTAGTGTGCAAAATAACCAGCTAGCATCATGATGACAGGATCAAATTCACACATAACAATACTAATCTTAAATGTAAATAGGCTAAATGCCCCAATTAAAAGACAGACTGGCAAATTGGATAAGGAGTCAAGACCCATTGGTGTCCTGCATTCAGGAGACCCATCTTACATGCAAAGACACACAAAGGTTCAAAATAAAGGGATGGAAGGAAAATTTGACAAGCAAACGGAAACCAAGAAAAGCAGGGGTTGTGATCCTAGTCTCTGACAAAACAGACTTTAAACCAATAAAGATCAAAAAAGACAAAGAAGGGCATTATATAATAGTAAAGGGAACAATTCAATAAGAAGAGCTAACTATTCTGAATATATATGCACCCAATTCCAGAGCACTGAGATTCATAAAACAAATTCTTAGAGACCTACAAAGAGACTTAGACTCCCACACAATAACAGTGGGAGACTGTAACACCCCACTGTCAGTATTAGACAGATCAATGAGGCAGAAAAGTAACAAGGATATTCAGGACTTGAACTCAGCTCTGGATCAAGTGGACCTAGTAGATGTCTACAGAACTCTCTACCCTAAATCAACAGAATATACATTCTTCTCAGTGCCACATGGCACTTACTCTAAAATTGATCACAGAATTCGAAGTAAAACACTCCTCAGCAAATGCAAAA